AAAATTTAGATAACACGAGTGTAATAGGAAAAAAAAAAGCGTTTAGTTCGTTATTGCACCATGCCAAACACAACCCGACATGCATGCACAAGTTGCACGTTGCAAGATCTTTCCTTATCTTCACTGTAAATTTATGATGTTAAAAGTTTATACAGTATTCGGGCATACAAAACCATTGGCGCCGCATGTTATTTTTAATCATAATTAAAGTAAATGAATCCACTGCCATATGTAGTAGTTGAGGACAATTATAAGATCTTGACCTTCAAAGCTACGGCTATCTGCCCTAGAATATAACATGAATAAAACATTTCAGCATTTTGAGACACCAGATACTGCGAGATTTCTAAGCGAAATTATCATGTAGTTTCCGGAATTGCAAGCAGGCTTTTTGAAGTCTTTTCATGAGATTGATGTCTTTCTCCCATGTTTACGAGCTGCAACAGGAACAGCGAAGGGAAGAACAAGAAAGCACACGAATAGGCCGTTTTCTCGTTCTTCCCTTCGTTGTTCCTGCTGCAATTTGTTCAATATGAATTCAACAACGTATGTTCACAAGCATCCGAATGTCAGCTATCGAATAACTATTCTACAAGAAGAATGCAAGGCAAATATTCATCGTTGGCCACCATGTCTCCAAAACACGCTTGGAATCAATATAGTTCCTAAGGTCAAAAGCGAATGATCATGAATGCATTAGGCGAAAATAACGATGACATATACAGCACTATTTGCAGCAGCTGTAAAAATAACCGTTCCTGTGCGGCAAGCTCTACCCACTTGAAGTCTGAAACGTTTTGGCATTTGCAGGCGCAATGTTTCACTGACTCTGCGTCCTGCCAGGCCCTTCCCGCGCGATAGGCCACGTGCAGGAGGAAGGGGAAGGGAGAGGAGGCCTGGGGTGAGAATGTCAGGTCAGGGAGAGGTGGGAGTTGAGTGATGCATACATGCATTTGCCTTTCATTGGGAGCTTTTTTAAGTTCGTCACCAATGGACTGGTAACTGGTGCCTTGGCGATTCAATAATGCGCCCACGCTCGCTCTCTCTCTCTCTCTCTCTCTCTCTCTCTCTCTCCCTCTCTCTCTCTCTCTCTCTCTCTCACTGTAAGAGGTTGTGGTCCTCCTAAGGTAGGGGCACGACTGACCTCTTATAGGCCCAGTAGGCGCTCGAGGCAGGCTTAGGTTATATTTAGGTGCAAGCAGACCGAGCGAGTGACCCATGCACTCACAAGCATGGGGCGAGCTCGCACGAGGCGACCTCCGCGGACTACGTTGTGTGCACCCACATAGTCCGCGAGATTGCAGGACAATGCAGCATGCTATATACACAAATAGAAGGTGGGAGGAGAGGGAGACCAAATAAAGGATAGTAAGTGAAATAACAAACGGACGCACAGACTCAGAAAACAGAGAGGGAGAAACAAAAACAGAAAGAGATAGATAGGCAGAGAGAGAGAGAGAGACAGAGAGGGGGGGAGGAGAGAGAGCGTGTGGATCCAGCACTAAATTGTGAATTTGCAGTCGACAGACATGGCTCCGAAGCAAGAGTCAGAGAAGACATGGGGTCCCTCTCTGAAACCCCCCTTACCCACCCACCCCTACTCCTCCAGCCACCAGCTCCCTTCCCCTCCCTTCCACCCTCGTTCTTCTACCGCTCTACTTTGTCTATATAATTATCAGAACGTTTTTTCCGTGGCAGAAACACGGAAAAGTTCAGAGCGACACAAAACGTTTCGTCTACCACAACAAAGACAATGAGATTATTTTGTAATAAGCGGATATTTCAGCATTCAGAAATAAACAAAGAACACCCTAGAACAACATTTGAATTCATATTGTTCTTCTTTCTTCTTTTATAGGGTTTTAGATCATTCTATAGTCTATACTCCCTGAATTCATATTGGTTTTTAATCGTATAATTTAAATCGACATAGAGTCCAATAACTGATCAGTCCGCCCCTTTCAGTTTATCATCACAACCAAAAAGAAAAATACCAGATTGTGAAGATTAACGACAACCTCTGGCAACTATCAACGAAAAAAAAAACAGTCGAAAGGTTAGTTATCACTGACACTATCATTTCCTTGATTATTTTATATTTACGCTCCGAGATAACGAATTTATCGTAAGCCCGTATCTGATGTAAACACAAGGACCTCACTGATGGTTCAAACGTTTTGGTCGACGTATTGCACCATTTTATGGCGGCAGCTGCCTGCCATGAAATTATATATACAATTCTCTGCATGTTCTGGTCCCTTTTATTGTTATTCGATACATGCACACACACACACATTTACATACAAATGCATATATATATATATAATATATATATATATATATATATATATATATATATATAATATATTATATATAAATATATAATATATATATATATATATAATATATATATATATATATATATATATATATATATATATATATATATATATATATATATATATATATATAGCTCTGCGTGTGTGTGTTTGTGTGTATT